GTGAATATATTTTTTATAAACTTCATCTTATAAGACGTTGAAATAATGTTTAATATGGATTCAATGCTCCAATCGTTATTTTATTACTTAATGAGAAACAATTGTTTTTTTTTCTAAAGATGTGTACTGCCAATGTCTGTCGTTAAAGAATAGTTGTTATATATTAAGTCATTCTATTTTTACATGATTCAAATAAAACAAAATAGATTTCGTTATTATCTAATCAACGTTGTCATAAAAAAGAAAAAAGGAGAATATTTCAAGTCGTTCAAAATCCTTCCTTTACCTTCAAAATCGTTAGAATAATCAAGCCACAGCAATGTCCTTCGAATGTGAATTCCAACGGGAATATCTAAAACTATTTAATATATAGAGATTTTCGTTTGTTTTCGTAAAAATGACTTTCCTTGGCTTTAGATAGTTGAAGGAGCTCACATGCTTCTTCCTGATATATTTACTTTTTGACGGGACTTTGAAGATGATTGATTGGAGCGAAGCCCTCTTTCATCGGCTATTGGTCGAGCTCCTTTCTATACAATGGAAGCTAAGATCAGGATATGTTTGGCTCGTTGAGAGGAAAGTCATGCAAATGTCGTTTCACGAACTTGAGGATGAGCGTCATTCTTCAGTTTCCTTTTGGTATCTGTCCTTCTATTCATTTCATAGTCCGACTGTCACTCGGGCTTACATTTGAGGATATTTGAAACGGATCGTATCGAATAGTGACATTTCTCTCACACCGTTTTCGACGAAACGACCGTTTCTTGGATCTTTATGTTGGATTGGATAAATCTTCTGTGCCACAGTCGAAATACGAAAGACAAGATTATGTCAACTATGTCTTGAATGTAACAAAACGTGTAGTACTCACTATATTTTTTCAACATCTTTTTTTCTTTCGTACATGTACACAACGAAGAAGATTCATAATAGAGAATTTATTCTAGTTGACAGAAATGAAAACAAACCGCTCACAATTGAGAGTTGTTCTTAGGAAGTGGTTTTACTGTAGACTGTACAAGGAGCAGAGCGTTTGATCGAACGACCCATCGGCCCATACCATTGCCATATTCGAGAGACCAATACTCTAATTGTACGGTCGTTTTTCTTACTTCTGGAACCACTATTGGGGTATAAACTTAAGGTAAATCGAATTATTGAAAATCGTGTAAATCTTGAAAGTCTTCAAAATAAATGAAATTTTTATCCTTTTCTATGTTTCGGAGTACCGAGATTATTGATATTAGTCAAGTTACTCGAAAGTTTCCGAGGTTTCTGAATCGTCCACAAATCAGCTATATCTCATAAAGTTTGTTGATCTAGAAGAATTCTCTGGTTAATTTGAAGAAGATCGTCGTGCATATCACTGTGTCTTGTTTGTATGCTTTAGGTGAGAATTTGAACGGAACTATTCTATCATTTACGAGCCATTCTCAGTCGTGTTCATTGGAACGAAAAGATCATTTATACACATTGACGGTGAACGCTTCTGATCCCCATCAACGCATGAGCGAACGAGCTATCGTGATGATCAACCTGCCCTATTATAGTTCGACGTTATACGTTTGCCTTCAGCCACCTAACACGTCATATTCGTTTCACCAAGGTGATCGGTAAGCTTTTTATAGTCTGTTTTGAGTTGCATTCGTTTGACTAAATCTAGACCGGCTATAAAATTGATTGTTACTCGACGTACTCTACCTGTCTGGGCGACGATTCTCTTATTAATACTTCTTCTCTCTTTATCGGGTCTTTTCTCCGGTCTCAATCTGGGCCTTATGTCATTGACACCGCACGATCTTGCCCTCATTCAAGAAGCTGGAACGCCAAATGATAGAAAATACGCCAAGCGCATTTATCCAATACGTAAACGAGGCAATTTCTTGCTCTGTACAATTCTATTAGGCAATGTTCTGGTAAATTCGACGACAACAATCCTCCTCGATACATTAATAAGTGGTATATTAGCTGTGGCCGGTGCCACTTTTGCAATTGTCATTTTTGGTGAAATCATTCCACAAGCCGTTTGTTCACGGCATGGCCTAAAAATTGGTTCTAAAACCATCATTCTTACTCGCATTTTCATGATAATTACATCTCCTGTCGCTTTTCCTCTCAGCAAAATTCTCGATTGTATTCTGGGTAAGAAAAAAAAAGTTTAGCGGCATTTTCTTGTAAAGAAAAATATCTCGATCCTCATTTTCAGGCGATGAAGTCGGCTCCACTTATACACGCGATCAAATGAGTGCATTGTTGAAACATACACAAACGACTGATATTGAAGATCGTGAGAAAAATATCATGACTGGTGTGTTGAGTTTGAAGACGAAGAAAATCCGTGATATAATGACCAATTTAATCGATGTGTTCATGCTCGAAGTCAATCGAGTTGTTGATGATGAACTTGTTTTGACGATACACGGCTATGGATACTCGCGAATACCGGTTTACGAAAAGCAACGGTGAGAAATTGATCAAAGGTTTTAATAAAACATCGTGTGTCCATTTTGTTTTTCTCGTCTAGTGACAATATTATTGGCCTGGTAAATATTCGTGATTTTGCTCTTCTCGATACAGAATCGGGAAAATTTACTGTGAGAAGTTTGCTGAATTTTTACAAGCATCGTTATGGCAAAGAGATTATGTCCGATGATTCATGTTATGACGTTTTTAATAAACTTAAGAAAGGTAGAGAAGAAAGATAGTTGCATTTTTTATTACTGTGGAATATTTTAGAACAATATCATATGGGTGTTGTGGTTGAACATGACAATAGTAGTGAGAAAGATCCAAAGGCAAGAGCAGTAGGTATCGTTACATTGGAAGATATTATCGAAGAAATGATTCAAGAAGAAATCATCGATGAAACTGATGTATTTAGTAAGTCAAACGAGTTCGTGTGAAATCATCTATCAAAAAAATTTCGGATCTGTTTAGCCGATAATCGTGGTAAAGTGCGAAATATGTTATCGCAAGCGCCCAACTTTTCGGCATTCATTCGTCAAACAGAACCATCTGATGACACCACGAAAATATCAGCTCAAATGAAAGTTGCTATTTTACAATTTCTTTCAACATGTACGTGAATCAATATTCGCACAGTGTTACTACGAAATGTGCAAGTTTCTCGCTCTCCTTCGATGATAAACCTTTTGCTTAAAGAAGCAGACATCCCACGCAACCCGTTGCTGAAAATCTAGATCGACCAGATGGATTATTGTTGACTATATCATGTGAAATAAGTCGGTTTTTTCGATTTTCATTTCCACCTATCGGTATTCCATCGCTTGCTAAAATGATAACTGTTCAGATGGCTTAATCTTTTGTCCTCCAGCAGTTTCGAAGAACCTCTGATACCATAACCTTATAAATCGAGAATTAGTCAGACTAAAATGCCAATGACGTGGTCTGATACATCGAGCATCCATGAAACGAGTCCGACAAAAGGAAGCTCCGATTTTTATAGGCTACTTTCTCAAATCAGACTTAAGTTGAAAGTTTGATTATTTATGCCAAGATACAAAGAATTTATTAATATGTCTCTTTTTGAATACAAATTTACCGTTTGTTTGTAGCCTAGGAAACATTGAATGCCACAAAAATAACCGCTGCCTAACTTTAAAATGGAAAAAAAGCGTAAAAATCAGTTTCTAAAAAAAGTTAGATTGAGTTTCAATATTTTCTTTCATATTGTACGGTTTCCTCCTAGAAGACTATCGAACATAAAAAGTCATTCTTGACCCAAGGAATTGGGTTTCTCAAAAGTTGGCTTTAGAGAGATAATTATTATTTGTATGTGAAAGAATACAAAATATACGTCTCTGCAAGAGCTGACCTAATTTGTCTAAACAAATAATAAACTTAAAATTGTTGCTCGACCAATGAACGAAATGTAGATAAGACATTGTGTAGAACAAAGTTGACTTAATGAAAACCGTTTCCCATTTGCAGTTGAACAAGTTGCAAGGCAAATACAACATCGGCTAAAACAAGTTTTTTTTAGAAACTGAGTTTTCAGCTGTTTTAACTTAAATACACTTTTCATAAAGACCTGTGCAACAATCATTTGTCGTGTTCCACAGTTCAGACAGGACAATAATGCAAACTAAAAATATCTTGAAAAGCACAGGTTACACTGAAAATTCTACAAGCCGAATTCCTAGAGACTCATTGTCAGTAATGAATTTTTCTCGAACGGTTATTTTCCTTGTCTATTATAGCTGTCGAACCATTTACGGCACGGTTCATCTCGTCTCACATTCTCACTCGTCTATTAAATGTCCAATTCTACCAGGAATTCGAATACGATGAAGATAGCGCTAAAGATGGCAAAGTAACCTACATCTACGAGTATGGTAGAGCGGCCGATTATTTCGTGCTTATTCTCAACGGACAAGTAGAATTGGTAACCGGCAAAGATAAAATCGTTAGCCAAGTCGGTCCGTTTTCTTACTTCGGTGTGAGCGCACTTTGTGTAAGTAACAATGATCATTTTAGTTTGAATCCAATTGTTATGCTTTTCGTTTATTTTTATAAAGAGTCCCGATAACAAAGTGGAAGATCTTTTACGTTCGAAAGATCTCAAATTTCGATCGTTTATACCGGATTTCAGCTTGAGAGTTTGTGAGGATGTACAAATTTTACGAATTCGTCGAACACACTGGTTAGCAGCTATTCGTGCGACTTTCTTTGAAAATAAACAAAAAGCAAACGGTGATCTACCAATATTCAATTCTGATGGTGAACAGATTGATTTGTTGACACAAGAATTGGAAAAAGCTAATGGTGTCGATCAACCAGAGACAAGTGCCAGAACTTCAAGTGAAACAAGAGATCAAATGCGTGATCGAACAATGTCTCTGATGCCAGCAACTGCTTTGGGACTTGACAAAAGAGAGCACGAACATTTTTTCAGTCGACTTCGTTCAAGAACTATTTCGCATAATGTGAATAAGACCTCGCCGGAAAGTCCGACAACCTCGAATCGAAATACGCCGAGTTTAACCGGTAAGCAGCGCCATCATTTATTTCGTACTGATCATACTTAACCACCGTTATCGTTAACTCACGAATGTTTATCTTCAGAGAACAGTCGTCGATCTAATTAACAAACAGTATTTCTTCGTGTGCACATAGAATAGTGTCAAGGAGTGTTATTCTACCTTACACTTTCATGTACGACGGTTTTCAGCCTTTGTTTTCTTGATTTTTATGGAAAATAACTTTTTTTTACTCAACTTGTCTTCGTATATTATTTGGTAGGTGAGGTTGATTAGTCAAAAAGTCCAAGGGGGAAAACACGTACTCCCGGACTCCCGTACTCCCGTACTCCCATTGTACTCCCGTACTCCCATTGTACTCCCTGAACTCCGGGAGTACATGGGAGTACAGGGAGTCCAACATAGGGGTGGGAGTTTAACTTTAACGTTAAAGCCAAAGTTAAAGTAACATACTTTAACACTTTAACACTGTAACGTGAAAGCAAGGGAGAAATCACGTACTCCCGTACTCCATGCACTCCGCTGTACTCCCGTAGTTCCATTGTACTCTCTGGACTCCGGGAGTACACAGAAGTACAAGGAGTATGTGAGATACAATTCTTATGTAGGAGACCGTATCATAGGTACCTTCGTCAATCACTTTAAATATTCCTATTTCTCAAGGAGAAAACCATGTACTCCAGTACTCTCTATACTCCGCTGTACTCCCGTACTTCCGTTGTACTCCCTGGACTCCGGGAGTACAATGGGAGTACATGAGAGCCCAGCAAGGAGGAGAACACGTACTCCCGTGCTCCCATTGTACTTCCGTACTCCCATTGTACTCTCTGGACTCTGGGAGTACACTGAAGTACAAGGAATCTGTGAGATACAATTCTTATGTAGGAGACCGTATCGCAGGTACCTTTGTCAACCACTTTAAATATTTTTATTTCTTCTTGAATGGGATACTCATGTCCTCATGGCCTATGCTTTGGGGGCACCCATAAGTCCCCATGGCCTATCCTATGGGGTACCCATAAGTTCTTATGACCTATCTTTTGGGGGTACCATAAGTCTTTATGGCCTATCCTATGAAGGTACTCATAATTTACCAAGGACTATTGATGTTTGGTATTGTTAAATTTTCAAGCACTGTCTTGCGGTAGTTCCAGTTACTCTTCAAGCATCATTTCGTGGAGGGATGTCGGATACCGCTAACTGTTAAAGAGATATCTAGCGTTAATCGTCATAGATTTTCAAGAGCTTCTAGGTAGGAACGCAAACTGTGATAAGAACGCCACTCACACGCAAGGAGAAAACAGCAGACTCCCAGATTTCGTACTCCTAGGGATTCCTCGAAACTCCCAGGGACCTCTTGGGACTTCCACGGATTCCTGAGTTTCTCAGGATTTCATGAGATTTCTTCGAATTTCGAGGGACTTTATGTGACTGCCTGGGACTTCCCGGGATTTCCTTGGAACTTCTTTGGGTCTTCGAGGTACTTTATGGGACTGCCTGGGACTTCCCGGGATTTCCTTGAAACTCCTTTGGGTCTTCTCGCTACTTTGACATATTCCGAAGTAGTAGCACCTACATGCATCATACTGGTCTGACTGTTCAGATCAAAGGTTAAACACTAATGAAAAAAACTAATGTGTAAAGAGCTGCGCTCCTGTATTTTATGGGACTCCTTGGAACTCTTTGATATTTCTTGGGAGTCCTTGGAACTCCTAGGGACTTCCAGGGACTCGTGAAGTACGGAAGCCTGCTGTTTCCCCTTGCTTATAGTACTCCAATAGGATAGCTCATGAGGACTTATGGGTACCTCCATAAGAGAGCCCATGTGGACTTATGAATACCCCTATAAGATACATCGTACTTCGGGAATTTCAAGGATTCCCATTGTACTCTCAGGGATCGGGAATCTTGGAAATCCCCTTTTTCCCCTTGCGTTCGACTATAAGAAAGACGAAAAAGAGGAATGCGACGTCTCATCCACTAGATACCACCCTAGTTGCTTTGTCTACTAAACAACCTATTATTCAAGGGGAAAACGGCTGACTTCGGATGCATCAAAAGTGCCAAACACGTATTAAAAGCATCGGAGTTGGCTCATGAGAATCACAACAAGACTCAGAATAACAAAATTAGGTATGGAGTATGACTTGAAGTATCGGAGTATTTGTCAGAGTATTGGAGTACGCCCGAAGTATCTGAGTTTGGCGGAAATACCAAAGGGTGAACCCATTTTGAGGTGTTTACAGTTAATTACTTCGTTGCTTCTTTTCGATCATTATGATTCTCAAACGTAAAATGAAGTGTGGTGGGAATTACAGCTATTGACTACTGACTTGAGACTCCCATACTGCGATACTTCAATAATACTTAGATACTCCGGCTCGTATTCCAGTACTCCGATGATACTCCGACGATACTCCAGTACTCCAAGCTGAAATCCAACGCAAAGAGTAAAGTTGATAATTTGAATTATACTGCTGAGAAACATGATGGAAGATGGTAGATTCTCACTGAAATGTCCATTGCAAACAACACAAAGCATGTCTTAGCTACTGGAATACGATGCGAAGTACGATCCGAAGTACCGGAGTACCAGCTAAAGTATCGGAGTATCTGAGATCCCGAAGTGCCGTTTCCCCCTTGCTATTATTCAAGGTCATTTAAAAATTAAAACAAGGAAACAAACAGCCTTGCAATACTTTCTCAAAAATATTCGGAATAAACTATTACGTTCGTTGTACTCCCATGTACTCTCTGTACCCCGTGAGTACTCGTAGTACGGGGGTACGTGTTTTCCCCCTTGATTCGAGGTCGTTTATAAATCACCAAAAGAAAACAAATCAATCGTGGAATGCTTTTTCGAGATATATTTGGGGTCGATTTGTGGTACATTATTACGTTCGCTGCATTTCCTTGTACTCCCATGTGTTACCTTGTACTCCTATGTACTCCCATGTATTTCCTTGTACTCCAATGTATTCCCATGTATTCCCCTGTACTCCCATGTACTCCCTTGTACTCCCATGTACTCCCTTGTATTTCCTTGTACTCCCATGCATTCCCTTGTACTCCCATGTACTCCCTTGTACTTTCTTGTACTCCCATGTACTCCCTTGTACTCCCATGTACTCCCTTGTACTCCCATGTACTCCCTTGTACTCCCATGTACTCCCTTGTACTCCCATGTACTCCCTTGTACTCGGAGTACGGGAGTACGTGTTTTCCCCCTTGAAAAAGTCGCTTTTCTAGATTTTTCTTGTACTGTTACATCTAAACGATTCTGTAGAATAACACCAGGTGTGTGTATTACGAACTAGATTTCTGAATTGACCGATATTTGTTAAATCATTCTTGTTCTGTAGAAAATTCAAACGATTGAGCGCATAAGAGCTTTGCTCGTCGTGCATGTCAATAGAATCTAGGCACCTCCATCTACCAACGGCGTCGGATGCTCTCTCAATGACTTCATTGATTTCGATAGTATATCAAAAACAAAGTATTCAATATCTTAAATTGAAGAGCGATGGCAAATACTTAAGATATTGTCACTTTACTTAAGTTTGTCTGAGATATAGAGAACTCTAGTTTTTGGGGCAAAACTGACTCCATGACTCCCTAGTTTGTTTACGAGGATTTTTCTTCTGCTCTTATGACTTTACTTACGATTGACTATATTCATTTGGAAACTGTTCTGTTTCTACATGACTATTTCTAAAATTACATTGACACCATGATTTCATACTGAAAGTATTGATGAAAGTATATGTAAGATAATTCAGATTGACTTTTCAAGGGAGTGGGATGTGAGTGAATGGATATAAATGGAAGACCGAGACCCACACCCTATTAAAATTGTCAATCCATGAATTAGATGCTATTGTCAATGATTTAAACATTAGTAATTCAATAAAATACGACTTGAATTTTTCACGATGAATGTCAGTCATTATACTTTGAAATATTCTGTTGTTGTTGTTCAATGAGGCAAAATTGAATTAACATCAATATTACCATATTTTGCTCCTAATGTTTTAAATTTAAAATATAATAGTTGAAGCATAGTTCTTAATTCTGATGGCTTGCCTAAGCATATTGTTTGTTGAATAGAATTTTTGTAGCCCAATATCATTTACAACTAAAAATGGTGTGATTGATTGATATCATCATTGAACCGTAATTTCATTAATTCTTAATTTTTTCA